TCTTACAATGTTAATATGATATTGTATACGGCAGTTTGATACATACTTGAATGGCTTGAGTGAAGGTAGACATAACCTTCACTAATGTGACATTGAGAATAACAAGAGATAGGCGGTATTACGTTAGGATTCTGATTTCCTAGAAAATAGAGGTCTAATTAGAAATGAAGCTGTCTTCTAGAGTCTCCTATCCTGCATATAGAATACAATGTGGTTTTGGTAGAAGAATTACCTACTAAACCTGGCATAATGCACCGCCATTATTAATATGCCATTCGTCGCTGCCGACACAAGTTTCACAGTAGAAGACCCCGTTAGGGTCATATTTTGCTTTCACTGTGCTTAGATTCTTCCATTGTGAGCCAAAGAAATCTTCTTGCCAGTTCAAGTCCCCCCAGTCGGCTTCATTCATATAAGTTCCAGTTTTTGGTGATAACTCGCGATAGGTTGGTGTGAGCACCTGGCGCAAGTGTGCAAACGCATCGAGATTTTGGCTTACTTGGGTACCATTCATTGCTCTTTCAAATATGTCCAGGATAACAGAACGATACCAGCCAGGCTGAACCCCAGACCCATCTCTTCCTAGTGACTTTTCAGATAGCTCCATGCCGTGGTGCACGATGGTATGATAGACAGGTTTGCCAGGAGACCCTGCCATAACATCCATAGCTCGACGAAGCTTTGTAATATTCTGTGAAAGTGCCTCTGCGTCCAAAAGACGAGAGGAAAGAGCTGAAACAGAACCAACCCTCGCGACTGTGTCATCCTTCGATTTGTAGTAGGAAGCATACTTGTAGTAGGTATGCCATGATATTGAAACTTGGACACCCCTGTTAGACTGGTTGCGTGCAAGGCTGTTACTCAGACTAGAGAACGACTCTTGTGCATGCTGTAAGGAGACACCAAGCATGATAAAAGACTGTTGGAAACTGTGGGCAGGTTTGGTCACGTTCCCGCTAGGCGTGACATGTGCGGACCAGTAGCCATACCCGGCGAATCCTTTCAGGGAAAGCCTAGGGTATGATGCGTACACCTCGGTCACAGCATCAAGAAATCCCGCGATAGTATCTTCGCCCTGTGATTCAATTGTCAATTTTGCGACAGTGACGTTTCTTGATGGATATGTCTTGACGGTCATCTCAGTAACAACACCAAAAGTTCCGCCGCCCCCACCACGAATAGCGTAGAATAAATCACTATTCGTGCATCTGTTGGCTTGGACAATTTCGCCAGAGGCTAATATAACTCTGGCAGAAAGTACTTGGTTCGCCCCAAGGCCGTAGTATCGTGTGACAGGACTGTGGCCTCCTCCTTGAACCCAACCACCAGTACTACTCGGCCCCTGTGATTTTTTGCATTTTAGCATGATGTTGGAAATAAGGGGATGCGTAAAGCCAAAACTCACTTCATTGTTGCCTCCGACGAGTATGACATCGTTTTGAGCTGCGGCTTCATAGAGGTCTGACCAAGCATATGATCCTCTAATCGTAAGCGTGCTTCCGTTCCAAACTGTCCCGAAACAATCCTGTATGACCTTGTGATTATTAAAAGTGAAGCCTTGCCTCAAATGACGGAGCCAAATGGAAATACTCCCATGCCCTGTCGACCTATATACCTCGATTAGCTGCGATTTAGCAAGAATCTTGTTGAGATGAGTATAAACCTTTGGAGAAAGTCATGTCCGGTGGATTTCAAAACAGCCCTGATGTTATTGAGTTTAGCGAATTGAATGGTATCTACGATGTGATCTTCTGATGTAACATTGACAGCAAATGTCGGAAAGCCGCCCACTGTACACTGTGACTCTGGTAATGGGGAGGTTGAGATGACCAACGGACATGAGTTGTTCAATGGGTATGCATATCCAATTGGCTGCGAAGACTGAAAATCTGCGCTAGACCAACTGCGAGCAATCATGTCGCATGTTTTGTTGTCCGAAAGTGTACCGCGGTAACAGGGTGAAGCTACCGGATTTGTAGCGATCAGCTGAGAATTTATCGAATAATTGAATCGTGCCCACTGGTCTTCGGAAGGCCAACATTCTTGACCTGGAACCTACGACGTATTAGCTATAAGAAATGTCAAAAACTGATGGCATAGCAAGATAGACATACGCATTTACAGTAACTAGCCACTGTAGGCACCACGGCAAGAAGAGTGAACACACCAAGGTAGTGGTACATCTGTTCAGTGGATAATTGGACCATATGGTCTGTTATTAGGACGGGGATCGGTGTGTTCCAGATCTTGCTATCGTAGGATTTATGTATTCTGCAACATGGAACAGGTTCGCAGAGAATGAAACTTAGCTAAACAAATTCGTTTGCATGATCTTAATAGGCAGTTGCTGCACCAGAATGTTTTCACTTATTATACAAGATACGAGCAGCTAACTTAGATGAGAACCCAACGAATTGAGTAGCTGAATAGAAAATTAGATATAATAGTAAGCAGACACGTAAGCAGACACGTAAGCATACGCGAAAATAAAGCCGTAAGCAAAGGCGTAAGCAAAGGCGTAAGCGGGACTGTTATAATCACCTTACGTAACGTGTTTTATAAGCGAGCGCCGCCCCCCACCAACTTTGTGCACCTCTCTCATCTCAGTACACAATGGCTCAACGCAACGCTAATCAGTTAGCTTTAAATGAAGCAGATATTCAGCTCGCTATATTCTCTATTGAATCTAGTCAGATACAGAGTAATCGCAGCGCTGCTGCTATCTATAACGTGTCAGAACGAACAATCCGCCGCCGACGCGTCGGCAAGCCTGCCCGACGCGGTTGCCAGCCCAACTCAAAGAAGCTTACCAAGCTAGAAGAG